ATCCTGGAAAGATGCTAGACGAAGCGACAGGAAGCCCCTGCTACCAGCCCGTGGGCAGAGCTCGCATCGAAAGCTCGGGCATTGGCCAAGGCGGACTTGGAGGTTTCGGGTTTTTGCGTCTGAGGGGCTCAACATCCCTTTCGCTTCAACGATTTCAATATGTCGGGTTCTGGAGAGACAGATTCCACTGGGCTTCCGGATTGAGATTCGTTTGAAATCACTGGTTTCTTGGTCTCAAACCGCAAGTTTCCAGCCCCATCTTTGGGACCAGCAGTACGCTCGATTGTTCTCGTTGCGTTTTGATATCAGTGCCCTTACCATCCCTGGTCCCCAGCCCCCAAACCCAGCTAGAGTGGCTCAGTCGAAGCCGTATGTCTGAAGCTTTGCAGTGCTAATACACTACAGTCGCCTCAAACCTGACCCTAAACACAACAGCCTTGCAGAGCTTGATCCGGTGTAGCAGTACAGGATTTCTGGCCGAGTCTTCGTGGTCAAGCGTTTGCAGACAAAAGAAACGTGTATTCCCTATCCTCCCTAAACCCTCGATGTTTCTTTCTGATGCAATGTGGTTTGGATGGAGACGGCACGAACCCCGGGTTTCCGAGAAGCAGATGAGATGTTGAATATCGCTCACCTTTCTGCTGGTTGCATTTCTTCGTGCATCGGTGCAAGGCAAGATGTATCTGACGCAGCCGAAATTGCACTGCCCGAGGTCAGCGCAGGTCTACTCCCGAAGCCCTACGCCCTCCAGATCAGCTAGCTATAACGGAGCCGTTTTTGCATCCCGAGCTCAAATGTTGCTTTGGCGAACCTGCCATTCTTGAGCACACGATCTCCCTTCAAATCTTGTGCTCTGAGCGATCTCCCTTCAAATCTTGTGCTCTGAGCGCAGCGATCACGGTGCAAGGGCCGGTCCTTTGACCTGGAGTCCGCAAAGGTTGGGTCAGGGCTTTGGCACATTGCTCTTGTGCGTTTATTTAAGAGTTTAGGCAGCCCAAGCTCATGTCTTTTTAACATGTGTAGTCCAAGTTGTTGGAGTTGGAGCGTGTTCTTTTTTTGGGGTGCATGTTGGGCCGGTGGGCGTGGCGAAATACGAAGTTGGATTTGCGGGATTCATTTGTCGGTGGTCTGTTCGCTCGCAAGTTGTTCAGGCTTCGGGAAACTTAAAATTCATGCTATTAGCAGTTTGTCCCTTTGTTATATAGGGGCTGAATGACTACCTATACTGTATTGGGGGTTCCTTACTTTTATTAGAGTATAATATATCCCAAAACCCTATTCCAATGATCAAGGCCCCTGCATTACTCACTTTGCCATTGCACAGTTGAACTCAAGCCCACAAGAAGAAAGCAACCCTCAAATCAGATAATTCGTCGACATCCTAGACCTCAGCTTAGATCGGGTCATAACGAGCAGGAGCTAGAAAACACAGACCCAAGACCTCGCACCCATGAATCAAGCCCATGCGAAGGCCTTGGGCGTCCTTTGGTCACCTGACCTCCGGCCGGCCGTGCTTTCGCTCGGGTCCGCACCCGTTGAGGCCTGGATGTCTCGGCTAGTGTTTTGGGTTCGACCCAGTGTTCGCGATGCTTTGTTTGTTTGGTCTGGTCTGAAAACGATTTCTAAGCTAATTACTTGTAAGGATCCTCCAATGTGCATGCAGCCCTAGTGCAGGACTCATCAAGATTTGCGTTTAAGGACCTGCCACAAGCTTTACAGCAGGTTAAGAAAGATAAAAAAACCCGGCGTACCCTATGTAGCCCGACTGAGGAGCCGGTGGATCCGTCTTCGGCCACCGAGCCGGAGCAGAGGCGCAGACCCGACTTCCTGAAAGCCTTACACCCGTTGCCAAGTCCCAACCCCACCCGACCGAACTGGCAGGGTTTCCTGGTTTGGGATTTGAGATTCAGGCGGTCTTGCAAAGTAGGACCGACACTTGTTGATCGTGATGAGTAAGGTTCTTCTTGCACAATGATATTAGGGCTTGATTCACAGTAGTTTCCACTCAAACAACCTGGCCCCGGGTGGCAAAATCCTTTTTCGATTTGCCCGTTTCGGGTTTCCAGTCGATGATTTTTTCCATTGGATCTTCAAGAACCGCACGCATATCATTGACCTAAAACTAAGCTGGAAGTGGTCCCCTTCTGAAATCCGAAACTCCACAGCCTCAATCTTTAGTCCGACGTCCGACACATTGTCCAGGCCTTTACAAGGTTTCTGATTGTAGCAGAAGGCAGTAGAAGGCAGTCAGCCAGAAGCAGATCAATACTTCAACCCCAAACCCACAGGGTTATAGACTCATAGATACGATTTGACAGGTCTTCGATGTAGATTGTTCAGGTTGTTCCCCCGGTTCAAGGCGAAGCGGTCTTCAAAGGTCATAGAGTTTGTTGAAGATTTTTTGTGTAAGGTGTTTGTCTGAATTTGAAGAGGGTTTAGTGCCACATCTCCTTGCCTCAGACAGAAGAGGTTTTCAGAGACGTGAGTTTTGAGTCAGGGCTTAGCACCAAAGTTCAACACGAGCCTTTCCCTATCTTCGTAAGAAGCCCGTGGTCAGTTTCATTTTCAGGGCCCTTCTGCTACTCCGTGCCGCGCGCATGAGTGATGCGGCACCGGTGGTGGTGAGCTCAGAGGGACTCGCCATGTCTTTTGGAATCTGCATCTTTGGTCTAGGGGTTTTGGGGTTAGACTTGACGACTTGGGTTTGATGTTCGACGGGGTGTTGGGGGGGTAGCGGGGCCTTGACCCTGTAGCGTATGCAGGCATTTTCTTGGTCGAGGTTGCCTCGAGATTGCAAGGTATGCTGGCGGGTCGTAAACCTCATAACTGTTCAGTCGCCATAGCCCTATTTACGGTGTTGTGTGAGGGGTGAGTCCGGTCAGGGCAGGCACTGTCACTGCGGTGACCGACAGTTTTCGTAGCCAGTGCTCACAAGGGTCATAGGAGTCGTGGTCACAACTTGGACGTCTGGTGCCTGGGATGTTTGAGAGCAAAAAAAGTCGTTGGGCCCGAGGCTCTAGGCCTTTCAACCTTCCGCCATCTGCGCCTTCAATCACATGGGCCTAGGCCCCAAGCAAAACAGAAGCCGTTTTCCCAGGAAGACCTCACAAAAGATTCACCACATGCCCTCCGCCACCCACCTTCCGTGGTTTTGTTTCCTTGTGGGCGTGGCTAGTGCGGTGTGGCTTCATGCGCAGTAGCATCAAGACCCATCCAACGACAACCGTCACCAGAATCGCGACTCGAAACCTTCCATCTCTGTGAGTGCGGCCGTTTTTGAGATATCGGAGTGATATTAGGATTTCGGCAGCACCTACGAGGATCGCCACCGTCGGTTTCGGGCCTTGACGTTTCCGTGCCGCCTTAAAAGCACCGACTATCAAAGCGATGAGGCGTACTGGTGCTGACGTCGCAGTAACTGTTGCTCTCGATATCAAAGCGATGTCTTAAAGTCTTGAACATGCAGACAGCTACGTGCATTGACTTGCGGTTGGAATGCTCCCGAGTCGTTTTGATTTGCGGACTTTGATATCATTGCGATTGCGATGTCTCGCAAGGGCGTGGAGTCATAGGGATGCTTGGTCTAGTACTGTCATGCAGCTTCCGTGCCGGGGGGAGGTTAAGACCATTTACAGCCGATGGATCGGCAAGCACCCGTACAATCTCGTGAAGGTCCCCAAAGCGTAGGCTTCAGGGGTTGGGGGTCAAGGGGTTCAGGTCGAGGCTATGAAGAAGGAGGCTGGGATTCAGGGCCTTAGGTTCAAGGTTTCTTTTTTTACTGGAGAGTTGTTCGATGTTAGAAAAGAACCAATACCCCCAACATCAAAGTCTCTCTCCTTCGCCCCACTAGTTTCCTCTGATTCTGTTTCAGGTTCTCGTGCTGTAGACAAACCTTGTGCGAAGCCTCAAGAAGCAAGGGTCGAGATAGCTTCTGTGCAGACACCAGCTGACAGAGTAAAGCTACGGACCCGGGCAGACACATCACTGCCACATGCAGATTCAGAAGACTGCGGAGGTTTCTTGTGCAGGGCAGCACAGGCCGAAGCACGAACAAAGATCTCGCCTTGCCAAGGATGCTGCGAAGGATGCCAAGGACAGTTGAGTTGAGTTGGTCATTTACAAGCATTTATGGGCCATGTGTGTACATGTGTCCGTACGTACCTACGTATGTACGTACGTACGTACGTCGATAGCTAGGTATGTATCTATGTATGTATGTCTGTATGTAAGTATGTATGAACGTATTTACGCAATGTAACGACATGCAGCGTGGTGCAACATAGTGCAACAGCAATGCAGTGCAAGGTTATGTAACATTATATAAACTGCAGTGTGATGTGTCGCATTATTCTGTAGCACCACGTAATGTACTGTATAGTATTGTGTTGTATTGTATTGTGTTGTAGTGTCACTTAATGCAATAGCATGTAATGCAAGGTAAGGCCATGCCATGCAATCTAATAAGAAATTCTTAGTAGTATTATAGTGTAGTGTAGGACAGTGTAATGTAATGTATGGTATGATTATATATATATATATATATGCATATATGTATATGTAAAGTATGTGTAGATGTATGCGTATGCGTATATGTGTGCAGGTGTATTCGTATGTTTATGTGTATGTATGATGTTTCGTATAATGTGCTTGTATGAAGAGCTGCAGCGAAGGCAAGATGCGTGTACTCTCCCACATCAAGCTGGGCGAGATCCCTAAGCTGCCACAGCACAGTCTCCATAGCTACAGTGCTTTCTTAACTAGAAAATTGACAAGAGCGGTTATTTCGAAGCTTCCGTCCACCTTGCACCACCCCCTAGAGTTTCGGACACGGCACAATCTCCATAGTTGAAGTGCTTTCTCACTTTATACGAGCTTTTATTTAGAAGATTGTGCATCGAACACGTAGAAGATCGGAATGCAACAGCCATTCCGGCCCCAAATCCTACATCCAGCATCTCAACTGAGCCTGGAATCAACACATTGAAAAACCCAACGCGAAGGAGGCGCTTTCCGCTTTCCGGGATCTGAGCCATCCTGTAGGCTGGGCTGCAGGGCGCTTGGGGTTTGTCCATGACATAGGCTGCAGACAGCAGGGTGAGTTAGGCATATCAAATTATTCCAGGTAGCGGGGCTCATCAAGGCCCCAGTCTTGGGTTTGCGCAGTTCTGGAGACATTCCGCACCAGGCGAGGCCACTGCGCTGCTGGCGGTGAGCCATGCAGCTTTGGATGCAGACATACAAGGCACCGCTTTCACGTAGGGATTTGGAGTTTACGTCAGGTTTGGAGTCTGTTGCTGCACTAGTGGTGTTTCGATGCGGGAAGACTGACCACGGGTTCTGAAAGTAGGCAGACATGAGCCTCGGCTCAGCACTTTCCAGACGTTTGAACAAAAGGCTAACTTGGGTTTGGGCAAATTACGCTTTGGATCGCTGCCTTCCATCGGGACTGCAAGGGCACTCGTAGCTCTAGCGCCTGAGCTCCTGCAAAACGAGTTCGCCATCGGCATGATGGCTTCTTCACATGCAAGCGTTCTGTGTCTCCTGGGTTATCGGGACATACCTTCTTTGGCATTCAGCGTGATCCGAGTAGTTATGTGACATCCCTATGCGTGAAGGAGGCGCAGATGCATTCAGTTGATTCAGACGTGGACTGCATGTTTTCTGTGCATTCGCCTTGTCCTGCGGCGGGGCTTGGTTGTTGACGCTTCAACTGCGGCTGTGGTTCTTGCCAGGTTTGGCAGTTTGTGTCTACTAAGGGTGACAGAGCCGTCTTGAAAAAGAGTTTGGGGCCGAGTCTAGGGCACCTTCGAGGCTTGGAGTAAAGGGCTTGAAGTGTCTGTTTCAGTCTGTGTGATATGCCAAGGAGTTAGGGCCTGAGAAGCAGCAGCAGCTTCAAGATCATCATCATCACCAATGTCTTGATGATGATTGGCCTCATGTTCGTCTTTCCATTCATGTGGTCGTCGCCATCATCATCACCACCACCCTCGGCCTGGCCATATGTATATATATATATATATATATCTCTCTCTCTCTCAGTATATATATATATATGTTCGCCGCATCATCTACACCAAGGACATGTCATCATGATGCCCACCATCTTCTTAGTCTCCGGGCTGCCCGCAGGTCCTAAAGTAGTCACATAGTCACTCTTAGCTTTCACCATGTCGGTCGGCACGGTATTGGTAGAAGTGCAGAAGCCTTCCTGACTCCCTCTGACAGCTACACTGCCCCTTCCCCTGGATGTTTCGGGAGGTGCACAGTCAGCTGCCAACCAGGCCGCAGCGGACAAGATTAGCATGATGACGGTGCTCATGGTCATGGTGGCGACGGCGACGATGACCAAGCTGACGATGATCATGGCGGTGGCGATAATTGTGGATACTCTCTTGCTGATGGCGATAATGATTGTGCTGATGGTTTCGATCGTCACCATCAGCATCATTACATGTTCAGGGTCATGTTTGCATTGATGTTTATCATGATGGCAACGATGGCAACCATGCCGCAGAAGCGGGAGTCGTCGTCGTTGTCGTCGTCGTCCTTGTAATAGCAGCAGTAGCAGTAGCGGTGGCAGCAGTAGCGGCAGCGGCAGCGGAAAAAACAGTAGCAGTATTGCAGTATAGCAGCGTAGGAGTTATACAGCATAGCAGCACAGCAGCCTAGCAGCATAGCAGAAACAGTGGCAGTGGCAGTTGCAGTAGCAGTTGCAGTAGCAAAAGCAGTAGAAGTTGAAGTAGCAGTAGAAGCAGAAGTAGGAGTAGCAGTATAGGAGTAGGAGTAGCAGCGGAAGTAAAAGTAGAAGAAGTAGAAGTGGTAGTAGTAGTAGTAGTACTACTACTGGCACCAGGAGTAGGAGTAGGAGGAGTAGGAGTAGGAGAAGGGGTAGCCGCAGCAGCAGCAGCAGCAGCAGTAGCAGCAGTGGGAGTGGTAGTGGTAAGTCGTAGTGGCAGGAGAAGGAGATCTAGTAGCAGTAGTAGCATTAGTGGTTGTTGTCGTTGCTGCTGTTGTTTAGGTGGTAATACTAGTTGTAGCAGTAGTAGTAGTAGTAGTAGTAGTAGTAGTAGTAGTAGCAGAACTATAGTCGTCGTCGCAGTAGTAGGACTAGCTGTTGTTGTAGAAGCAGTAGGGGTAGCAGCAGCGGCACCAGCAGCAGCAGCAGTAGCAGTAGCAGTAGCAGTCTCAGTCGCAGTCGCAGTAGCAGCAGCAGCAGTCGCAGTAGAAGTAGCAGTCGCCGTAGCAGTAGCAGTTCCAGTAGCAGCAGCAGTAGCTGTAGCAGCAATAGTAGGAGTGGCTTTAAGTCGTAGTAGTCGTAGGAGTGGTAGTAGTCGTCGTCGTCGTAGTAGCCGTAGACGTAGTCGTAGTAGGAGTAGTAGTACTACTACTAGGTAGTAGTAGGTAGTAGCAGGTAGTCGTAGGTAGTCGCAAGTGGTCGTAGCAGTGGTAGCAGTAGT